CCAAAGCATGGTCGATGTCCATGGCGGGTACGACCCCTCAGAGAGGGGCAACCTAGGCCAGACATGATCACTTGGGAGGCCATCATGGAAGGACTCGGGGGGCTGCAACAAAGAGGGAGTAATGGACCCTCACCCTCCAGGAATTCTGAGATAACCTGAGTCCCCATTTCCATCTGGGAGAAACACTGCCTGGCTCTAATCCACTTAAACCTAAAAACCTATGCTAGGGAAGGCAGTGCAGCCCTGTGCTGGAAAGGGCAGGTATCAGGTAAATCAGGCATAAGAAAGAATATATAAAAATCCTGTGAAGCCTGCTTTGTTTAGAATGCTCTCATTTAAATGATAAGGGTCCAAGCAAGAAGTTTGTTCCTCAAAGTTTTATGGCTCTTTAGCTATCTGACCCTGACTGAGAATAAGCCCTCATAGTTCTTTGAATGATATCCATTGTTTGATCCTTACCTGTATTCTTGTGCAAATGAAGCCAATAAAAGCCCCTTGAGTGGGGGGCTCTTGGCCCTTTCCCTTTGAGGGATCAGCCACCTTTCCTCCCCAAGCAGATTATGTCTTGGTAGCGTTTACTTTCATCCGTGGTACATAGAGGGGGACTTGTGAGGAAAGTCACCCCAATAGTAGGTCTTCATTTGAATCAGAAGCCCTTAAATAAGCCATTCAAAGATTTTAAAACACACTGCTCATAATCATTAAAATGGTATGTAAGCCAAGGTATAGTATGGTAATAAAATTGGCATCTGGCAGGGAACCAACAAAGCTATAATTAAATGTAAATGACTAAGAAGAATGTCATCATCACCAAATGAGGCAGACACCAGCCTGCAGTGTCCACATCATTATGGATGAAATGAGACATTCACACAGACTACCGAGTCCTGCGGAGGAAAAGGGACAGCATGGCTTTTCTCTCAAGGGGAGCATGTGGCCTCTGCCGTGACAGGCCTTTATTGGGTTTCTGGGCATAGTACATAATGGTCCTCATTTACTATGCACAGGTTGCTTTAGGTGGTTACCTTTTACAGGCAACAAAGGAGCCAATGCTGCTAATCACATCACAGAAGAAGAATATTTGCAAGTGAAAAAGGGAATCATTACACTTGTCCTTGGAAGGTTTGGCATGGATTTTAGGAAGTTACTTTGTAGCAAATGTTTGCCACTGGAGGCTGGGCCCACACCACGCAGAATGGTCTCCTACACCAAACATCTATATATGCTTATTAGGGTATAGGCACTATGCTAAGTGCTTTACATGCATTATTTTATTTGCTTCTCCTAACAACCTGTAAAGGTACCAAAATGATTTCTGTGAGCCTCAGTCTTTTCATCTGTACAACAGAGATAAGCAATTTTCCAAGATCACATTGTAGCAGGAAACCTGCTTAGACAAGCTGGGACCAGTAAGAAGGACACAGTCCCTTTGCTGAGCCACTAAGATACGAAAGGGTGAGCAACTAAGTAACTAAAAAGTAAGAACAAAAGAACATTGTATGACCCTATCAGCAGCCCCGGTTTCTCTGCAGCCCTGCTTTCTTGCTTCTGTAAACCTGCTTCTGTCATGTAGGCTTAGTAAATTCACTTCTGCATGCCACATATATATAAACAAGCCCCTGCCCTGGGCTCAGGGCCCAGAATTTGGAGACTGTCTCCTCTGGGTCCGCACGCGTAAATAAAGTTCCACTTCGTACACCCGAAAGCAGCTGAGTTGTCTTCTGTAACAACATGACCAATAAATGTTGAAACCCAAGCAGCTGACCTCAAAGTTCATACTCTTAATCTGAAGCTTTTACCAACAAGCCTATAAAATGTAGGCAATTGTTTTTTCTTTTTTCTATTTATTTTTTTATTGTTGTTCAAGTACAGTTGTCTCTATTGTCCCCCCACCACTCCCACTTCCTCACCCATCCCCACCTCCCACCCTAGATCTGGCCTGCCTTTCGATTTGTCCTTTGTACACGTTCCTTGATGACACTTTCCCCTTTGCCCTCTCATTATCCCCTCTACCCACTCCTCCAGTTACTGTCAGTTTGTTCTTTATTTCAATATCTCTGGATATATTTTGTTTGCTTGTTTGTTTTATTGATTAGATTCCACTTATAGGTAAGATCATATGGCATTTGTCTTTCACCACATGGCTTATTTCACTTAATTTTTGTAAATGGCAAAATTTTTAAAGAAAAATTTTTAATTTTTTATTTCATTATCTCAGTACTCTTATTTTGCCCAAAGACATTCAGCTTCTCTTAGTGATATTCAAAAGTGTATATAAGGCATTTTCAGCCCATAAATATTTTTGCGCTCTCTTCAATGTTTCAGTGTCATTTTAAGGTGCCATAACGAATACCAAAAAATGATGTCTAAAAGTACTAGAAAGGCCTTCATAGGTCAAGAGGTCATGGGAAGAGAATGTTACTATACCCAACTTTTAGAAAACTATTTTAGACTTCTTATTAAAGCATGGGTATATAGATATATAGATTTTCCAGCAATTATGATATTTTTTTATTTTTACTATTTTTTTCCTTTAAGAAAAGTTAACCACAATATAAACTACAAAGTGATAAACAGTAATAGAGGAAACCTGTACCAGATGTGAGGAATTAGAGCGGGCGTGGGAATCAAGCCATAATTTTCTTATAGAAAAATAAAAGCTTATGTTTAAAAATCAATGACTTCCATTCTTCCCCTGAATATCAGGATGTTTCAGTTTTGGATGATGGGGAAATTTCTGGCTTCCCTCCATAGGTGTTTGTTCATGTGCACCATCCAGCAAGCCCAGGGACACAGCTGCTGCCATTAGTGAGTTACACCTGAAGCTGGCGTAACGACTCACACAGCTTCAGGTGACAGTACCTTCAAAGTGCTATTCCTGATGCTAGACAATCTGACAGGTGTGAGGTATATCTCATTAAGGTTTTAATTTGCATTTTTCTGATGATTAGGGACGTGAAGTGAAAAAAAAAACCATGGTGTAGTTGGTGGGAATGCACATTGGTGCAACTACTATGGAAAACAGTATGGAGTTTTCTCAAAAAATTAAAAATGGAACTGCCTTGTGACCCAGTGAGTCCGCTTCTGGGTCTATAGCCAAAGAAACCCAAAACACTAATTAGAAAAGATATATTTGCCACTGTTTACTGCAGCATTATTTACAATAGCCAAGATACGGAAGCAACCCAAGTGCCCACCAATAGATAAATGGACTAAAAAGTACATATATAGAATATTACCTGGTCATAAAAAAAGAACGAAATCTTAATTTGGTAACAACAGGGCTAGAACTAGACAGCATTCTGCTAAGTGACAAAATAGATGGACCTAGAGGGTATTATGCTGAGTGAAATAAGTCAGACAGAGAAAGACAAATAACACACAATTTCACTTACATGTAAAATCTAAAGAACAAAAAAATGGACAAACAAAACAATAACAGACTCATAGATACAGAGAACATTTTGATGGTTGCAAGAAGGGAGAGGGTTGGGGAAATGGGTGAAAAATGTGAAAGAATTGGTCATTTCAAAATAGTCGTGGGTATATAAAGTTGAGCATAGAGAATATAGCCAATAATATTGTAATAACTGTATGGTGCTAAATGGGTACTTGAATTATTAAAGGGTATCACTTTGTATATTATATAATTATCTAGCCACTATGCCAGGGGTGTCAAACTGACTTTCGTCAGGGGCCACATCAGCCTCAGGGTTGCCTTCAAAGAGCCAAATGTAATTTTAAGACTGTATACATGTAACTGCTCCTTAACAGTTAGGCAAGAGCTCAGCACTGTCACCAAGTAGAAACAAAGTGCCAGTCCAGATAAAACAAGGCAGAGCATCAGATTTAGCCTGTGGGCCATAGTGCCCCCTATGCACTAGGCTGTAGACTCGAAACTAATATAAAATAATACTGCATGTCAAAAAGATAGCTATTCTTGAGAAGTTTTATCTATCATGGCAGAAATTTTCATCTCTCCTCTCCTCATTTAAATTCTTGTGTCTAAACAGTGGCCAGCACAGAGCTGGCATTCAATAAACAGCTTTGCAATACATTAAATAATGGGCTCAAACTTAGCAACTTGCTATCACTACTTAGCAGCAATGACCAATGAAAATTTATCTTCAGCATCTGCTTGACTCAACCTAAGTTCTAGGTATTTCTTGCAGATTTTCAGTAATAGGATAGCTCTAGGGTAATTTCTGAGCACTATGTACTTCTGTTGAGCAATTCAAGAAACAGCTCCTATTGAGCGCTCCAGGCAAAAGCCTGCATAGCTCTTTTAAACAGCTATTCTAAGGAATGGATCCAAAGCTATTTAGAATTCTAATCTGAGCACAAACCCCCAAAACAGAGTCACCAAGTCCCAGAGCTAGCTGTCAATTGCTTTCTCCTGTATGCCTACTCAGAGCACAATTCCCTTACTCTCTAAGGAAACCTTCTCAATGGTTGAAGTTATCAATAATTCAGTTGCTCAGATATGTCCTGAGTAACTATGAGTCAGGAACTCTTCCAGGTACTTAACATATGACTCATAAATTTCTCCTAAGGACTTCAGACTGAGGTAAATGTGGGAATTAGCAAAAGCTCCAGGTTTTATACATTTTGATAGCACTTTGTAGTTTCAAAAAAACCTTTACATATATTTCCTAACTTAAAGTTTCTCATAACTTTGTGAGGTAGACAAAATATTTCCATTTTACAGATGAAAAAACTTAGAGAAAATAAGCATGTTACCTAAGGTCACTGGTAGCCAGAAAACATTAAAGATTGTTCTTTTACCCAGGTTGGGGAAACTTTTTAGCAAATCTCTCTGTCTACTCTCAGGCACCCTAAAATTTTTGGCTGTTATTTGTCAAGACAGCTATGTATTTAAATATTTATGTATCAGATTTTTTAAGCACCTAATCTATTTAAGATACTGGATATACGGTGTATAAAGCACCTCATCTCAAAGCTGTTTTATTTTCTAATGGGAAAATTAAAACACATATAGGGGCCTCCCAGTACTTACCACAGGCTATGTTCTTACACCACCTGTACAGAAAGAGGAGGCAGAGTAAACCCACCTCATACACTCCTCAGCCCAGGCCCTTTGCCTGGTCTGTATTGTGAATGGAGGGGCATGGGAAAAAAACACATATAGGTTATCTGAAGCTAAAACAGGAAGTGAATCATGCCATAAAAGAGATTACAAAAATAAAAGTGAGTGAGAGAGATTATTTTCAGCTAAGGAAAGTGCAAGTTAGATTCTTTTGCAAAAAAGACACTGGAAATATATGACAAAAATATATGAATTTAAAAATTTTTTTAAAATTCAACTTAATGACCTTTACAGGACATCCCATTATTTTGGTAAACTATGAGCTAAGGAGAAGATGAAAGAAAATTATGACCCATTTAAGCTCATGAGATTATTTTTGCATCACAAAAAAATTGAACATGAAATACATATGCATAAATCCCCATGCTGACAAGCTGTGGATGCTGTTAATAGAGGATCTCCACCCACCTAACCTCAAGGCACATCTCACTGGAAAAAATTTAGTCTAAATTGACAGAAAATTATAAGCTTTCCACTTTAACTGACTGAAAACCCATCAGAGATAAATCTTAGTGCTGGGCAGAATCATCTCCCTCCTGGTTAAACTGCATGTGTTAAGCAGATTTAATATTTTGTTCATTCAGTTAATTATACACAACACAAAAAAACATACCCCATTCATGTACAAGACAAATTTGAATTGACTCTAAGTCTATCCTTAGTGCAAATGCAATTATGGTGATTATGGCTGACTTGGATACTAGGTGGAAACTCATCAGCCAATATTGTTCTCTTATAGCTAATGTTTCAACAACAATGTACTTGCATCAGCTACCCTGTTTACTTTTTAAGTCCACTTTTCTTCCAATTTTAAGGTATTATCCTGGAAAAAAGACAAGACAAGGTGGTTTTGTTTTCAAGAAGCAATGGTAGTAGCTAATAGCTGTGGCTTGTGTTGTTTTTTGTATGTTTGTTTTCGTTTTAATTTTTTAGTGTATTTTTCCATTACCATTTAACCTCCTTATACTGCCCTCCCCCTGCAATCACCAAACTGTTGTCCATGTCCATGAGTTCTTTTCCTTTTTGCTTGATCCCTCCACCCCCTAACCTCCACCTCCCAATAGCTGTTACCCTGCTCTCTATGAGTCTGTCTCTATTTAGCTTGTTGGTACAATTTGTTCATTGGATTTCACATATAAGTGAAATTATGTGTTATTTGTCTTTCTCTGATTGGCTAATTTCACTTAGCACTTTTGGTGGGAATGCAGATTGGTGCAGCCACTGTGGAAAGCAGTATGGAGTTACCTCAAAAATTAAAATGGATCTGCCTTATGACCCAGCAATCCCACTTCTGGAAATTTATCCAAAGAAACCCAAAACACTAATTGGAAAGAACATAAGCATCCCTATGTTCATTGCAGCATTATTTACAGTTGCCAAGATATGGAAGCAGCCCAAGTGTCCATCAGTAGCTAAGTGGATAAAACAATCTTGGGACATTTACACAATGGACTACTACTCAGACATAAAAAAAGAAGCAAATTTTAACCTTTTTGACAGTATAAATGGACCTGGAGAACATTATGCTAAGTGAAATAAGCCAGTCAGAGAAAGACAAATACCATAAGATTTCACTCATGTGGAATCAAATGAACAAACTGAACTAACAAGCAAAATAGAGACAGAGTCATAGATGGGGAGCAGATGACAGCTAGTGGGGTGAAGGTTAGGGGGTGAAGGGATTGAGCAAAACAGAAATAGGACTCATGGACATGAACAACAGTGTGGTGTTTGCAGGCGGTGCAGGGATATAAGGGGGTTCAGTGGTAATGGATAAAATACAATAAAAATCAATTAAAGCTCTTTAAAGAAAAAAATTTTAATTATTTAAAAAGTTGTAAAGGCCTTGAGTCACTGTAGGACAAACAAAAAGTTAAAGCTGGTTTAGAGATATTACCAAAATCAATAATAAAATAATATTTATTTTCTTAATAGCTAATAATAATGAGGGCTTATTATTAACAAGACACTAAGTACTAAAGTACTAAGTACTTTAAGCACAATACATAATGGAATCTTCACAGCCTTATGAAGCAGATACTAGTATGGTCTGCATCTTATAAATGAAGAAATAAAGAAGCAGAGAGGCTGGGGAATTTCCCCGAAGTGATAAAGCTGAAAAGTGGCAGAGACGGGACTTGCATGCAGGAAGTCAGAGTCCAGAGACAAAAGTCTTGACTACCATACTGCCACTACTAGCTACTAGTTTTTAAATCCAAACTTTTTTTACAGGAAATACTTATTATTTCTTAGAGTTGTGCCATAGATATAATCCTTATATTATACACTTTGTACATGGCAAACCAAATTTTAATGACTAAATGCTAAACAAATACAGCCTAAGAAGGAACGTCTGTCAAAGTCAAAAGAATAATAGTAGAAAATTGTCTCCCAGGAGCCAAGAAAAGACGCCTCTTATGAGAGAGGAAGGGAACTTGGACATGAAAATAAACCACTGATCAAGTAAAATAAGATATTCAAATAAAATAAGATATTCATTTAACAGTGCCTCAGTGACTTGGCAAGAGTCTTTTCAGTTAAGCCATTTCAGGGAGGGGAGACAAATCAGATACCAATGTGTTAGTGCACACATGTGAGGTGAGGAAGTGTTAAGTAAAGTGTAAAGGAAAACTCAGAGGGCAGTAGCTACAAGGGAACATGAAACAAGAGATCATCTCTACCATAGAGACAGTGGAGTATGTTTAAATGGAAATGGCAGAGTTTCAATGTGAAGAGAGACTCAAGACACAAAAGGAGGACGAGGTCATCAAAGAAACTAAATCCCTGAAAGGGGAAAAAGAAAGATGGAAGTCACAGTACCCATGAGGGGATTTTCCTTCGACAGGAAGAGACCAACCATTTCGAGACATCTGCTCTGTCAGAAGGGGGATTGAGGAAGGGAATAAAATGCAACGTGCTACAGTGTTAGTTTATTTTGATAGGTGAAGAGAAGGAATGAGGAGTGGTAGAGAGCCATCTCAGCACACAGGGTCATGGGAAGACTTCGAAGTTCAAAGGATGAGAAAATCTCAACAAAAAGCAGATCAAAGCTTAACTTTCGGAACACTGAGCATTTGTAATACGATTAGTACTACATTGGTTTTTTATTTGGGGAAGTACAACATGTAAACATCCCACAGAACACTCATGTGTTTTGGGAAATTATTAATTCTCACCATGCTATTTTAGGAAAGGAAAAATTATTGTTAGTCATTGGTGATGCAGAACTGCTCCTACCGTGAAATTTTAATTTTTTTTTCAAATTGATCTTTCTTCAAACATGCCCTGCCTGCCTTTGTGGCTAGGCTTCCTGTCAGTCCAGCTCCACCTCCGAGGCCATCCAGAAAGTCCGGCCGGTCTACTCGGAGGCAGCGCCCAGTGAACCCACCCCAGACCTCTCTTGCCAGGACTGATTTCTCTACTCAGTCCTCTCAGGCCGTGGCTCCTCACTTACTCAAGTGGAAGTCTGAAAACCTGAAGCCTAAGCAATACCTGGGAGTCTTGGACCTCCCCACACTTAACCAATCAGAATCAGCATTGTATCAAGATCTCCAGGCCAACGGTGTACACATTAAAGTTTGAAAGGCAACAGTTTAGACTTCTCTTCACAATGTCTCTTTAAGTTTGCTTGGTTTTTCATCTCTTTCAATTTCAAGAAAAAAGAGAGATAATTTTTATTCGCGTTTTCTACAGCACATTTTCCTCAGAATATAGATCAAAATTTCTTTCACTCAGTGTACGCATTTTTTTGAGTTCACTTTCAGGTTTATCTTCTGCTGTTAACCCTCTCAACCCAAACTACTTTGTTCTACCCACATACCTGTACCTCCCCACCAAAGCGAAGTGAGCCATGGCTGTCATTCTACTATGACTTTTGTCATACTGCTCCTTTGATCCCTCCAAATCTTTTTCCTCTTGAGGAATTGTCTTAAATCTCAACTGTCACATTACCTAGAAAAATATATATATATATTCTCTCTCTACTTCACCAAATAAAATATTAACTTCATAAGATCAAAAACTGTATTTTATTCATTTTATATCAATAGCATAATTTCTAGCATCTAGTCAAGATGGTTATAACTGAGACACAGATATAGGTATGAATATGGATATAGTTATTGATATAGTTTACTTTTATATTGTATATTTCATTTACTTAGGTATATTAGAGTTTAGAGTATAATTCTAAATATTTAACATATGTAGTATATATTTATTTTATATATTTAGAGTATATAGCTAATTTATATACCTAGTTTTATACATAATTCATAAATATATTTGACTTACACTTGTGCGTGTGTGCCTCTAGGGTATGCGGATTAGTTTTCTCAGTAGAAAATATGAAGAGAAGATCATGAGACTATATTAAAGATAGAGGGGTTGGGGAAAACAGTTTATTCCCACAGCCCCCAAAATGACTAATATAACTGCAAAAATCCCATGAGCTTATGGAATTTGTTTTTGGCCAAAGCCTCAGATGCTAAATAGTTACCCACATATCTAACCCATCTAAACTGCCAAAACTAGACTTGCAATTTTTAGACTTCAAGCTCTAGATGACTTCAGGCTCTCCTGATTCCTTTTTGGACAACTTGTAATGCAAAACTCTTTAATAATTTCATGGTCAGTAATAAGTTTTCATTGGATACACAGAGTCAGGAAGATCCAGGCTACATACCCACACAGTGAGCAACACTCCCATAGCTGCAGGGGCAAATGCCAACCAGGAGAGCCAGAGAGGGAGAAGGATTCTATCTGCACCTGGGTCGGGCAGAGGCGGCAGGCCGCAGCCAGCTGTGACTGTGAGACACTCTTGGCTTTTTGGAGAGATGATGGGTACAGAAAGCTGGACAGTGACTCAGTGCTGTGGTGGGAGTGCCTGGAGACACTTTTTGAAAGTGGAGCAGAGGTGCACTGGGCAGGGACCCCGTGCACAGCTGTGCTGCCAGCAAAGGACAAGATTGAGGATGGAGTTGACTCCCACTCAGAGGAACTAGGCAGAGAGATCAGAAAGGTGTG